CTTCCCTCCTTTCTTCTCTCCTTCTCTCCTTCCTTCCCTCCTTCTTTCCCTCCTTTCTTCTCTCCTTCTCTCCTTCCTTCCCTCCTTCCTTCCCTCCTTTCTTCTCTCCTTCTCTCCTTCCTTCCCTCCTTCCTTCCCTCCCTCCTTCCCTCTCTCCTTCCCTCCCTCCTTCCTATCCCCCTTTCTTCTCTTTCTTCTCTCCTTCCTTCCTTCCTCCTCTCCTTTCCACTTTATATGGATCTTAATCTGCGTGGGATGGACTGAATATTTTGGTCAAATTATTGGATATCACCGTTGCCTTTAATCCATTGATAGGAACATAGCGAAGGCCTTATGGTCCAAAATTTCCTTCTCCCACGTTGGCTAACTAGATTTAAAGGGGAAGCTTGTAAGCATGGTGCCACTTTTATTCCCAGTAAATATTATACATTAAAGATTCTAATAAGGGGTTTCCTGGTGACCCCCTTTTTCCTTTTTGGCAATCCGTTTTTATTGCTGTTAACATTGGATTTTATTATTGCGTACTAAGAATATTTCAGAACTGAACTCATAAAAAGTGTTAACCTTTGTCTATCCCAGATCTTCTGCGTCTCAATGTCATTGGATGACCTTTAAGTTCTGTATTACGTGAGGGGTGGAAAACAAATCTCGATGTTTACCTTTTCAACATCCTAGTCCCTATTTTGATGACACCGGTCACTGTTTTCAGTCAATTCAGTAAACCTCACATCTTTCGCTAGGTGCAGGATTATCTTTAATAGCTTCTTCCCTGACTGTTTTCATGACAGCTGCTTGAGAATAGTCTTTTAAGATGTCAAAAAACACCACATCTCACTCGTGACTCAAATATCTCTTTATCAATGTACTGCAGTCTTCCCCAATCGAGTATCATGTTGTAACAAGATATAGTGCCCAAAATGGTTGGGAATTCTAGTATTTCTAGTCCCAACAAATGTGGATGGCACTACAATAGGATAAACCAATCTTTGTCAAGTTTATCCAGAGTATTAATGATGCTCCACTATCCACATCAATTTATCCTCCAATTTAGCAACTTCCTAAGCAACATTAGCAAGGATGTCACGCAGATTCGTGAAAGGTCCCATATTTTGAAAGGGGCGGCCATGGCTCAGTGGTTAAAGACACTGAGCTTTTCAACCAGAAAGCTGACAGCTCAAGATGGTAAATGCAGGAAGGTGCTCAAGGATATTGTAGATTTTTAGAATGCTAGATTTTTTTTTCTGGATAAACATAGCATGTAGCATGAAAATACTAGCAATGTATAAGGGTAGAGAAATCTCCCTAATTCCACGGCCTCTACCTGCAGCCCTCTACCGGCCAAAAGGAGGCCATGCAGAGGCTCCATGGGGTCCCCATGTGGCCCATTTTTGGCCCTCCTGGCCTCCAGCAGGACTCTGCTGGCCAAAAAACTGGCCTCATGGAGGCCTCATGGTGCCTCCACATCAGTGGTGGGTTTCAAAAATTGTTCGAACCTACTCTGTGGGTGTGGCCTCCTTTGTGGGAGTGGCTTGCCCACCCATGTGACTGGATGGGAGTGGCTTGCCACCCATGTGACCGGATGGGAGTGGCTTGCTGCCCATGTGACCGTATGGGAGTGGCTTGCCGCCCATGTGACCGGATATGAAGATGCCGACGACACTTGTCAGAACCACCT